GAGTGAGCTGAGGAGGGACCCTCCCCCCAATACATGAATTTCATGTACCAGGCCTCTAGTCTATAATAATAATGGTGTAATATGCTAATTAAACTGACAACCTTCCAGATGAAGCCACAGCAGGGGCCAAGTCCTTTGCACAAATTTCGTGCATTGAGCCTCTAGAATTGAGATAATTAGTGAAGCTTGAGTGAGGTCTGTGGAATAAAGGGCAACTAGTAATGTATCAATAATAATTTGGGGAAATTATAGAGAAGAACCTCTTTATTTATGGGAAATAAATGCTGTTATTTGGAGTAATGGGACAGCTTATCTGCAGTTATCTACCTCTTCTCAAATGGTTCAGGAGAAAATATTCTTCATTATAAGTTTTCTGTAAATTTGATATTGGTTCAAAATAAGATCTTTTCCAAAGAGTGTTTAAAATTAAAGCTACGTTGTTTAGCTGGTTTGCATGCTGCTGGCAGTCAGAACCAGTCCATCTTGAAGCAGAGGCCTTCGAAGACTTTTAAGCGGAGCCGTTTCAGGGCAGGCAGAGACCAGAGTTGAATAGAAGTTGAGGATGAGACCGGTGACAAATGGAAATGATAGCCATGGGCAGTTTTTTTTTTCCAGAATTTAGCTGTGGAGGGAGAAGAGGGGCCCTTAGAAGGAGAATCATAGTGAAGGATCTGGAGGCAATGATATACTAGGATGTCTGAAAAAAATTAAATTATCCTAAATAGGGGAGATCTTGTAGAGGTTTTGTCTTCAGATATTTGAAAACCTTGCAAGTCTGGTACTTCATGTTGTTTTTGTTTATTTTAGAGGGATGAATTTACAAGTGCTTACAGTGAAAATGGATTTTGACTCAACATTAGAAAACCTTGAGCTGTACAGCAGTTGAATAATTAGTTGCTATGTGAGAAGTGAGCCTCTTGTCACAAAAAATGGAAAACGAGAGGTTAGAAAGGTGGTGTTCCAGCCCAGTTCCTGGACGTGACTCCTTTATTGGTTTAGGGATGAGGTTAGATCGACCTCCTACTTCTACCCCATTCTCTGGCCTATTGTTGCAGGAATATTTAAGTAGGAATTCTTAGCCCTTTCTGAAAGTTTGAGTATAATAGGAAATTACCAGTTTTTAAGGTTCATCATTAATTTTGTTATTTATTGTGCTTATTACAAGTGTAGAGAATTTCACATTGCAGTGACCAATATCTCATTTTATTCCTTAGATATTACTCTGGATGATTCTGAGTAAAACTGTTGGTGTGTTACTGGTAGGGAGAGGTCCTCATCCCCACCTGTTGCTCATGGGGGTGGATTTCTTGCAGTATCCCAAGAAAAAGAATTTTCTGAGACTTGCGAGGGAGGATGAGATATTGTAGAAAGCTTTATTTCTGTGGAATTATACCCCTGAGATTCCCAGATGCTATTTCTCTTAGTCCAGTCATAGAAGAAGTATAGTTGGGGATTCGGCAGAGCTAAAATCAGAGCCAGTGTCCAGAATTTTCTTTCTATGTTGGAGCCAAGTCCAGTCCAGCATCAGTACATTAGTGCATTGCATGTGTAGTTGGCGAATGCAAGGAAGCCACGAGTCAAGAACAACAAGAGAGAGAACTCCTTTATTATGAGATTATGTATTCCCAAATATTTGCAGGCTTTCATTGGTTCCATCCATTCTGACAAATCCGTGGTTCCCCAGGTTTGACTGATAGGTATTTTCCCTGGTCACCCCAGCTTCACTGCACATGTGTCTGTCCTTTGTTGGGCCCCTCCCCCCAGCGATCTGCAGAGAATGGGCAGGTGGTTCCCTGGGGGTTGCAGTTGCAGCTCCTGGTGAAGCTGCCCAAATGACCTGTCTGTAATGTCTGGCCTTCTCTTTGTTCCTTTTCTGTTGTTAATAGCTAGCTAATTACAACAATATCTGGTGGGACACACACACACACGTGCAAGCAGGCCAGTGGCAGCACTGTTATGCTGGGAGAGGGGTCTTTTATACATTGATGATCACAGCAGCTCAGGAGAGTGTAGGATTGCTTGTAGGGATTATATTCTGCATTGTTTTCCTACATTTTCTTGAAGGCTGACTGTTTTTTTTTTTAGAGACAGCATATTTAGAAATGAGAAGGGTAGGGACAGTAATGAGGCATTTTTCTTATATGTTTAGAAAAATATGGCATCAAAGGAGAAAAAATAGATCAGTTGTTAGGAGGTATGTGGGGAAACAACAGTAGTGTTGGTGCTTGTGGCCTTGCAAATGAGTAATGATTGTGCAGGATGGAGGAAAGGAAAGCAGAGAAAGGTGAATGCGGCTGAGGATAACGAGCTTCTACAGAAGCTCTCTGTGGCCACCAGGAAAAGGGTTCTGTGCCTTTCAAGTGTCTGCTGAAAGCATGGCCCTTAATAAAATCACTGAAAAATTCCATGTTCTATAAAATATGAAATACAAACCAATATAGTCTTACTGCTCCTGTTTACCTAAAGATAAGGCTTCTGGGGGTTTTTCTATTGATAACTTAAATAAAAATAAAAATTTATTTCTAAGAGTCTGAACAATTTATCATTATCAAACTAGAACTGATCCCTGTTTAAAATTTTTAATTGATTTTTAGGTTATGGCACAAACATGCTTTCTTATAGATTTGTGAAACAAAAACGTGGGTATATAAAATTGATCCACAAAATTAATCATCGGAGATTTCTGGGGTCCAGGAGGTTGGCACAAAACCCTATCAGGGACAGCATCTCTTGATCTGTATTTTAGTTCTGTATTTCTCTCTGATTTCAGAAATAAAGCCTGTGTTGAGTTGCTAAAAATATTCCTTCTTTCAGCATCTTCATACTTAGTTGTTGAAATATGTGGATCCTATATAATAAAATGCTAATATGCAAATTGATCAAATGGTGGAATGGCTGGTCACTATCATGTGCACTGACCACCAGGGGGCAGACACTCAATGCAGGAGCTGCCCCTGGTGGTCAGTGGATTCCCACAGGGTGAGCGCTGCTCAGCCAGAAGCCCTGAGCTAGGCTCACAGCTGATTAGCACAGTGGTGGTGGCAGGAGCCTCCTGCTTCTGCAGCAGCACTAAAGATGTCTGACTGTTGGCTCCAAGACTGCGAGAGGGCACAGGCCGGGCTGAGGGACCATGCCCTCCCTCGAGTGCATGGGTTTTGTGCACTGGGTCTCTAGTAAAAATAAAAGCTTTGAAAATTAATTTTGCTCACCAGTCATACCATTCCTAGGGATCTCTTACCTTATAATAGACAAACATGTAAATTGACTGTACCTCCACTACACCTACAATCAGAAGTGAGTATGCAGATTAACCCGACAAAGATGGAAGGTTAATTTGCATATGCAGGCGCAGATGCCTGCTGTGAGAGGGAGGGATGGGGTGGAGAGAGCTGGCTGAGAGCGGGTACTTGCCAGCTTCCAGGAGCGAAGGCAGGGGAAGGAAGGCCTATTCTTGCATGAATTTTGTGCAGTGGGCCTCTAGTTTACTAAATAAGAAAGCATAGAATCAAAAAGGTTTAGTCCTGAAAATGTTTGTTTTATTTTTAAATAAAATCATGGATACGAATATAAATATCTTAGAGCTAATGAATGAATAGGTAAATTATGATGCATCAACTACCGTTTTTTTCGGACCATAAGACGCTCCGGACCATAAGACGCACCAGTTTTTAGAGAAGGGAAATGAAGAAAAAAAGATTCTGAAACAAATAGTGTCCTAAAATATTTTAATGTGCATTAAAACCCAACATCACAGTCATAAACACATGTAATCAACCCTGTAAAGTAAACAGCAGCATTTAGAACCATTTTAGAGCCGGGCAAGCACACAGAGACCACACAGAGCCGGGCAAGTAAAAAAACTTTTTTTAAAAGTATATGTGTAGGCTATATTTGGACCATAAGACGCAGGGACTTTTTCCCCCCCACTTCTGGGGGGGAAAAAGTGCGTCTTATGGTCCGAAAAATACGGTAAATATGTCATAATTACTGTCTCCATTAAATAAAAATCATGATAAAACTAAAGCAAAAAGTGTATTTACAATATGATTATAAACATGCAGAAAACCCACATGCCTAGAGACAAAGACTGGAGGGAAATGAGTCTAGAATGTTCAGCATGTGATTGGTGTTACACTTCCCTGTTAAAGCCATTTGACATAAATAAATCTAGTTTTTAAAAATGGATATGGCTGTGAGTTGGGAGTTTTGCCAAGGAATAGTTTGGAGCATGAGTTGGTGGAGTGACAGTTCCGTTGTGTCTAGGGGAAGTGCAGGCCTCTGCCCCCGCCTACCATGCCCACAGGTCAGCTGCGCTCCACCTCAGCACCAGTCTAGTGGCAGGCACATGCCAGCACCCATCGGAGCCCCGGATGATGTCGAGGACATGCCAAGAAAGAGGGCTGCTTTGGCTCCACTTCCCTAAATATCCCTACTCAGGGTCCCTGAATGTCTAGTAATTGAGTATGCTTAAATGGTTTCATGTTTACTATTTGAGGTCAGCCCAGTTCTTAAGATATCACAGCAAAACTTACTCCTGAGATATGTTAACTATCCCATCCTTACTTCATCCAGACTAGTCCCCCTCATCAAACTTATTTTCTGCTTCAGAACCATTGAGAGCAGAGTCAGCTGGACTCTCCTCTGTAGTTGTCCTTAAGAGTTGCAGACATAGGGATCTCCCATTCGCTGGCTGAGACTGCCTTTGCCACCTCACATGCCTTGTATCTCAAATGGAGCTTGCCTGCCAGGTTGTCACACACCTTCTCCTCACCGGCTCCTGTGTTCAGCATTAGCAGAGTGTCTCTCTGCCGCTCACTTAGGGAGGAAGTCCCGGCACTGTCTCGAGCCCGTCCTCCAGCCATCTGTCTGCCTCTGCACTGTCTCACACCCGTGCTTTGCTCCAGTTACTGTCCGTAGGTCCCTAGTTTTGGGCTTCCGGCCCTGTCTATGCAGACTTGTTCAGAACTTGAGTCTGACTCCCCGATCCCCAGGTAGTAGATGTGTACCTCTTAATCGGGGGCCTTCTGCCATCAGGTTCCAACGTGCCTTCCACACAGCACCAACTCTTCTCTTTCCTGTAAAGTTCTGGAAGCTGTGCTTCTGGATTGGTTACATTAAAAATGACTATTCTCTGTTGCTGTACACAAAATAGCAAGGGCAGGGTGTTACACTTTGAGTAGGAATTTGAGCACCAAATTGTCTTATTTGACAGAGTGCATCATGTTGGGGAGATGAGTTCATTTTAAAATGTGCTTGCTTAAAGCATCATTAATTGTTAAAATAAAAAAGGACAAAACAAAGAAAGCCCTATCTATGGCAGTTTCCATGTGCACATGGCTAAAATACCATTTTGGAGACAGACAGAAAGATGAGGGGTGGAATGTTGGGGTGGGGGGCGGTACAGCCTGACATTAACCAAGGAAGAGGAGAACAATTGGTGGTTGTTAGGGTTTCTGTTTCCTTTATGTTCTTTATCCTCAAGTTACAACACCCCCTCACCCAGTTCCTTTAAAAAAAAAAAGATATTCAGTGAGGTTTGTTTGTAGGCCTCTGCCAAGAATTTACCCGAGCTGCTTTCTTCCTGGTCAGCCAACAAAAGGCATAGAATTGTGTTTTGAATTTTTGAGAATCCTGACTATTATAACTATCCAATAAAGGCATCACTAAGAATTGGATTTTTACATTCTAAAAATAAAATCATAAAAGTAAATGACTTCTGATTAATATATCAACCCTACAGAAATCTTTATTTGTTCTATCCAAGTATTTAGTAGTTCTGCCAAGAAAACAAGGTTTTTTTGGTTTAAAAAAAAATGGAGTGTTTTTTTAATAATGTTATAAGATATCCAGCATGTCCCACTTCATTACAATTAACTTTCTATCATTACAGTATTGTAGATGTAATATATTGGGCAGTCAGAGCTTTTAAATGTTTGAAAAACAAAATAGAATAGTCGTAATTTAGGAATAATTCATTTAAAATACATGTTTCCTCCACATATTTGAACAATCTGTCCAAAACACAGCTCATTCATGTGGGACTTTGCCTGTGCAACTCTGAGTGGGAATCAGTACTTTCTTTGTTCATCACTATGGAAACAAGTCAGCCTATCCTGAATGGCTGTTAAATCATGCAGAGTGATGCTCTTATCTCAGTGTAACTTCATCAGGGAGCAAGCTGGCACTGACATCTCCTGGCCTCCAGCTCTCCTCCTGGGGCCCAGCACCATGCAGGACCCGCCCCGGCGGCTCTCGGCCATGCCCTTCCTCAGCTCCTTCTTACAGGGCCGCCGGCACTCGGCCTCAGACACAGCACTGAGGCTGCCGCAGGGGCAGCACGGCTCCGGCTCCGGCTCCGGCTCCGGCTCCGCCACCAGGATGCTCTCCTCATCCTCTCTCCAGGTGATGCTAGCTGTGTCCTCTCTCAGCTGCGCCAAGAGAAATCCAACTTGCCCTGAGAGAAAAAGTAAAACTCCTTTTCTTCTTAAAGATTGCCTCAACTTTGAGTTTGAATTTAAGGAATGTGAAAAGGCTGTACTGTGCTTATACCTTTTTAGTTTTTGACCATTCTGCATTATTCTTTTTACTGTCTGTTATGCTTAGAGTTTCAGTGGATATATAATAGATGAAATGATTGAGTGTTGTGTGTTTTTGTTTAAAAATGTAGTTCTGAACAAACCTCATGCCCTTATAAAAGATCTGCTTTTATGGTTTCTTTTCTGTGACCAGTATGACGTGGAGATTGTGTAAAAAGAGTTTCCTACATTAAGAGATAGTGAATGGATATGGATTTAATTTTGACACAATAAAGGGTGGTTAACACACGCCCCTCATCTGCGATCTGATATAAAATGGAAGCTTATTTCCCAGTCACTGTTCTGTTGGGAGAGTGGAATTTCAAGTCCCTTCCTGCATGTTCTAGGCAATTCAGGACGTCCAACGCCGAAGTATACAAAAGTCGGAGAGCGTTTACGGCATGTCATTCCTGGACACATGGCCTGCTCCATGGCCTGTGGGGGCAAAGCTTGCAAATATGAAAATCCAGCCCGCTGGAGTGAGCAGGAGCAGGCCATTAAAGGGATCTACTCGTCCTGGTGAGTGATTCAGTCTGTTGTAGCTCTTCCCTGCGGCTAAGTTGAAAAAGGTAGTGAAGATGTATGTGGTGCCGGATGGCAGGAGGCCGTGGAAGAGGATGTATGGGGTTTTGAAGTCAGAACCTTTGCCTCCCATCTCTTGCTGCCTGACAAACTGTGGCCTACTCACATAGGCACTCTGAACCTCAGTTTTCTCATCTGTGAAATGGAAATAATATAACCAATGCTATTTTTTAATTAAATGAAATAATGTATATAAATATTTTAAGTGATAACAAGATAGCTCTTAAATTTCAGAAATTGCTAGAAATAATAACAATGCTGCCCTAACCCGTTTGGCTCAGTGGATAGAACATTGGCCTGCAGACTGAAAGGTCCCAGGTTTGATTCCGATCCAGGGCATGTACCTTGGTTGCGGGTGCATCCCCAGTAGGAGGTGTGCAGGAGGTAGCTGATCGATATTTCTTTCTCATCAATGTTTCTAACTCTCTATCGCTCTCCCTTCCTCTCGGTAAAAAAATCAATATATTTTTTTTAAATGCTGAGCTATAAATTTAAAAAATTATGAGGTAGTTTCCAATTTCATACAGGTAAGTTTTAACCTTGCTTTAATTTTGGTCCTGTTCTCTGTGTGAAAGGACCCACTTTCACATAAATACATCTTTAGTCTGCCTCAATAGGAGTGGTACAAGTTGTCAGTTCAGTAGACAGTATGAGATGCTTGCATTTTTTATGGTTTATTAATAGTAAACTGTCAAGTAGATCTTTTCAATGTAGTGATACCTGAAAAGTTTTGATAATCAGACCAAATCCTATTTGAAAATCACTGTTTAAAGAATTCTAGTGATGAATCAATTTATATAGCAAGAATCCATTTACAGATTAGATAATTTGTTGACCAGAGTCTCTAACTTACAACCCACACTTCTTCATACTAGATTTGCCGGGGACATGGATTTGGATAATGTGGGGGTTACAGTGTCACTGTGCTGCACAGATCATATTCTAGTCCGTCTCTGTCTTTCTTAAAGAATCTTGTGGGAAAGCCAACACTATTCCTGCTGTAAATTTCTAATAATCCAGCTGAAGGCCACATTAATATTTTTTATTTGTTTTTTACTGAACCACCTGAATCTTTTTTTGCCTCTGATGATATTACATTACATCTCATACCAAATACTATTAAATCTTGGATCTTCTGATGTTTTGGGGGGCCCTGTTGAATTTCAGGCATTACCCCAAGGCAAGGGGTTGGTATCTTTTGGATCCTGCCCTGTTTATTTAATGTTACTCCCCTCGGGTTCATGTGACCCCCATCTTTTGGTAGACTGCATGACGTACCTTTCATGCAGCCATTTGTTTGGTCTCTGCCCATTTGTGTAGTCAATAAACATGCATTTGGCTGCAGGCCAGACACTGTGCTAGACACTTTCAAATTATTACCTCTTCTTCATCAAACTATTGTAAAGTAGGCATTGTTAAAGAGATAAGTGGTTGAGGTCCAGAGCAACTAAGTAATATATGCTACACAGCGTTTAGAAAGTAGAAAAGCCAGCATTTGAAACCAGGCCCAACTGATTCCAAAGATTTTATTTTTTGCTAAATTGCAATAACATCACTTATTAATAACCACGTGTGGGGATTTTTGCTGAAGACTTTACATCTGTATCATGTTGAATTTTCACACCAGCCATCCAAAGCAGGTGTTTTTATTCTATTTAACACATAGATAGCTAAACTGCAGATAGCTCAAGAACTAAAAATGCCTCCTGCTTGTCCTCCTCACGGTTAAAAACCTTTGGATAGCCGAGGCCAGTTTGGCTCAGTGGATATAGCCGAGGCTGGTTTGGCTCAGTGGATATAGCCGAGGCTGGTTTGGCTCAGTGGATAGAGCTTCAGTCTGTGGTCTGAGGGGTCCGGGGTTTGATTCTGGTCAGGGGCATGTGCATTGGTTGCGGGCACATCCCCGGTGAGAGGTGTGCAGGAGGCGGCTGTTCGATGCTTCTCTCTCATTAATGTTTCTAGCTCTCTGTCCCTCTCCCTTCCTCTCTGTAAAAAATCAATAAGATATATATTTTTTTTAAAAAACGTTGGCCGAAGCCGGTTTGGCTCAGTGGATAGAGCGTCGGCCTGCGGACTGAAAGGTCCCAGGTTCGATTCCGTTAAAGGGCATGTACCTTGGTTGCGGGCACATCCCCAGTAGGGGGTGTGCAAGAGGAAGCTGATCGATGATCCTCTCTCATCGATGTTTCTAACTCTCTATCCCTCTCTCATCCTCTCTGTAAAAAATCAATAAAATATATTTTATATTTTAAAAAAAACTTTGGGTAACGAACCTAGACTGTCACCTTTCTGCCAGTTAAGGTGTCTTCTTCATGTCCACTAGAATCTCTTGAGTGTCCTTGAAAATGTTTTATTGTAGTACATACTTAGGTCCTGGAATTTTCTCAGAGATTTAAGCAGCTAGGTAGGGTTTTTTTGTTTTGTTTTGTTTTTTAGTGCCCTCATCATAATGCAAAATTTAAGCCAAATTTGGATAAGGAGATTTTTATCTTACAGAGTTATTGAAATCCTAGAAAAAGTAGTAGCTTGACACCCTGCTCTCAGTCCATGGAGCTGGAATGTTCTAGGTTTTGTGATTTCACCCGTCCTTTCTTCTGTCTGTAGGATCACTGATAACATCCTGGCCATGGCTCGCCCGTCCACTGAGCTCCTTGAGAAATACTGCATCATCGAGCAGTTTCGTAGGTAAAATGTCACATTGTTCATACAGCTCAATAAGCCAGCTCATGTTTTCTCTTCCATTGCTTTTGACATCGATGGGAAAGGGTTTTCATTTTAATAATAGGTATAAAGAATGTATTTCACATAAGATATTTGAGAATAATTCGTAATGTTTATTAATGCTAAACGTGATTACTTTTTTTTTTTTTATGCTAGCTAATTCCCAGTATGACTCATTCTTTTCTTTTTCTTTTAAGCCATGGCTTAAAAACAGTCATTAACCTGCAGCGGCCTGGTGAGCATGCCAGCTGTGGGAATCCTTTGGAACAAGAAAGTGGCTTCACGTACCTTCCTGAGGCTTTCATGGAGGCTGGCAGTAAGTCCTTCCACTCGCTGCCCATGAGTTACCAAGACAGTACTCAGAGACTGTGGTCCCTCTGCTCTTAGCTTTCGAAGGCGATGGAAATAACTGTGTAGGAGTAGTAGGGCTCCTCACTTCAGCTTTAAAGAAGGCTGCCGTTCCTCTGTGGTACTGCTGTTGAAAGGGCAGGCTTTCTTTTTCTTTGAGAGGGACCTTCGGAGGAGACCCTGTAGAAATAATGGTAATATTTGATTAGTGATTGCATTAACATTAACAGTATGTCAGACCTGTCATCTCATTGTATCCTTAAAGCAGTCAAGTAACATAGTTGTTTCTGCTTCACATGAGGCCACACAGGCTTAGCAAGTTCTGCTTTGTCCACAGTCACACAGCCTAACTGTGTTAGCAGGATTGGGACTCGGGACTTGCTGATGCTTTTGCTGCTGCACAGGAGTTCTGCCCCTGGGTAGGATGCTAGGATTCCTTATGTGATACTTTCAGAAGCTCCTTAGTCACAAGAACGTGGGGGAGGGATCCTACGTTCTTATGAAGAAAGGATCAACCTGTGCGATTTTAGAACTTTTTTAAAGAAGCTTTTACCTAGTTCTTTTTTTCCCACTGGGTAAAAAAATCGGTACCATCTTCTGCCGTTTATCGGTCATTTAGACTATGCTTCATCAGGATTATGCTTTCTCTCCAGAGCTGAGGTATCTGAATGTAGATTACTTACTTTATTAACTTGCAATCCTGCTTTCCATAATTCTTCCTGGCTGAGTTTAGCAGGAAATGCCTTAAGTAACAGGGAATGTGCTTTGTAAGAAATTTTAACAATAAACTTACTGGAAATGTAAAAAGCTTATTATTCTAAGCCTACACATCTAGTGAGATATGCGTGCTTTACAGCTTCTACTCTTCATGAATTCACTTCTTTCTTCGCATATTCTTGCAAGTATTTTCCTGTATGTTGATGTTTTATTCCTGTTCTCTTTTTCATTGCAGTTTATTTCTACAATTTCGGATGGAAGGATTATGGTGTAGCGTCGCTTACCACCATCTTAGATATGGTGAAGGTGATGACATTTGCCTTACAAGAAGGAAAAGTAGCTATCCATTGTCATGCAGGGCTTGGTCGAACAGGTAAATTCTAGAAGGTTGTTTTATTGCCTTGTAGTATATTTAAACATAAAAAGAATAACATTTTTGCCAAGACTGGTTTGGCTCAGTGGATAGAGCGTCTGCCTGGGGACTGAAAGGTCCCAGGTTCAATTCTGGTCAAGGGCATGTACCTTGGTTGCGGGCACATCCCCAGTGGGGAGTGTGCAAGAGGCAGCTGATCGATGATTCTCTCTCATCGATGTTTCTAACTCTCTGTCCCTCTCTCTTCCTCTCTGTAAAAAATCAATAAAATATATATTTTTTAAAAAAAGAATAACATTTTTAAATATCTAATGTATTTAAAAATAGTAATGAAGCTGAAACTGGTTTGGCTCAATGGATAGAGCATCAGCTTGGGGACTGAAGGGTCCCGGGTTCAATTCCAGTCAAGGGCATGTACCTTGGTTGCGGGCATATCCCCAGTAGGGGTGTGCAGGAGTCAGCTGATCGATGACTCTCTCATCGATGTTTCTAACTATCTCTCTCCCTTCCTCTCTGTACAAAATTAATAAAATATATTTTTTTAAAAATAGTAATGAAAATAGCAAGCATTGTTTTACCTACTGTTCTAAGCATTTTACACTTACTGTCTTATTAATAAATCTTTAGCAACATAGTAAGTTTTGAAAAAGACTAAGAAATTTGCTATATCAAGTAAGTGGAAGGGCCAAGATTTAAATTCATGATTGTCAGAATTTTTTTTGTGAAGGAGAGTCTATCCATGCCTAGAATTCTATATAAAAATATTTTACTTAATCAGACAGCAGAATCTCAGTATCATGCTGATACTGGGGCAGAAATAAAGACCGATGGGTTGGAATCTTCATTATCATTTGGTTCACCCAGATACCTGAGCTTGACTCTGGCCATAGTGTACCTGTGTACCTGCCGTGGAGTCTCCCACCTGCTCAGGAGCTTCGTTAAGGGAATGCATAGTGTTTTATACTGTTAAGGTTGTTTTCCTTAATGTAAAGTGCTTATAGAAATATAGAATTAATTTCATAGTATGGAAAAAACCACATATTCATGTAGAGACAAGTCTATAAGAAGGATTGCCTGGAAAAAATAGATTGTGAATGTGAATACTTCCCAAATTTAAAAATGTACAGGTTGGTAGAGTGCCAGGCAGGAATGTTCCAGCAACTGATGGCAAAGGCACGAGTGGGAACTTCCACGTGCAGTATATGAATGGAAATTTTCAGAAACTGTTAAATGGGAAATAGAAGCAGGATTTTATTTCTCCCATGTTAGAGTTGTGCATAAGAGGATAAACATGCTAGATCACCTCCCCATTCTCCCCAATTACACAGTCATTCCCCTATTTCACTCAGTGATTCTGCCCAACTCCACGCTAACTCACCTTACTCCACACTTAGTTATCCCTCACTCGCTCGGCCATTACTCCATCATCCCCCCTTACTCCACACTTAATCACCCCCACTCACTCCACAATTACTCCATCATCCCCCTTACTCCACACTTAGTCATCCCCATTCACTCCACAATTACTTCGTCATCCCCCTTACTCCACCCTTACTCACCCCCACTTACTCCACAGTTACTCCATCATCCCCCTTACTCCACACTTAGTCAACCCCATTCACTCTACAATTACTCCGTATTTCCCTTACTCCACCCTTAGTCACCCCCATTCACTCCACAATTACTCCGTCATCTCCCCTTACTCCACCCTTACCCCCACTTACTCCACAATTACTCCGTCATCCCCCTTACTCCACACTTAGTCAACCCATTCACTCTACAATTACTCCGTATTCCCCTTACTCCACACTTAGTCATCCCCACTCACTCTGCCATTACTTCATCATCTCCCCTTACTCCACACTTAGCTTCACTGAGACAGTTTCTGTGCTTCCTCTGGGTACAGTGGTCATTGAGTGTACTCAGTCAAGACAAGGTGTACCATATAGACAAATAAATATATAAACATCTTTGCAAAAATCTACAAAGTTATATTATCCTTAAAACGTTTCCCTATTGATACGGTTTTTAACACATATAAAATTTAAATCATCTGAGAGTGATAAATAAAAAAATATATAAGCTTTCTCATCCAGTTTTTTCTTTTTCACTACGTAGGTGTTTTAATAGCTTGTTACTTAGTTTTTGCAACAAGAATGACTGCTGATCAAGCCATTATATTTGTTCGGGCAAAGCGTCCGAATTCCATTCAGACTCGAGGACAATTACTGTGTGTGAGGGAATTTACTCAGTTTCTGATTCCTCTTCGCAACATATTCTCTTGCTGTGACCCCAAAGCACATGCTGTCACCTTAACACAGTATCTGACTCGCCAGCGGCATCTACTGCATGGTTATGAGGCGCGACTTCTGAAACACGTGCCAAAAATTATCCACCTTGTGTGCAAATTGCTGCTTGACTTAGCTGAGAACAGGCCCGTAGTGACAGAAGAAGTGGTAGAAGCACCTGGCCTCTTGGCGGAAATTGAGAAGACCGTGTCTGAGGTGGTCACACAGCAACTGGACAGAGAGTTACTGAGGCACGACAGTGAGGCGTCGGACTCCTTCACTCCCACTGCAGTAGCGGTGGATGTTGAGACTCAGGATAGGATTCTTTCCAGTGAGCAAGAGTTTGACCCTCTTTGGAAGCGACGAAATGTAGAGTGCCTTCAGCCCCTGACTCACCTGAAAAGGCAGCTCAGCTACAGCGACTCAGATTTACAGAGAGCCGAGTCACTTCTGGAGCAGTCAGGGACCCCGTGGACAGCATCTGCTCAGATCTCATTCTACATCCCTAGGCAGCGGACGCCTGTAGGCCACTGTGACACCCCACAGACTCCACAGCTGGATTTCAATAAGGACATGCTGGTCCACAATACATTTTCTTTCTGGAATCCAACTAAATTTGGAGGCTTAGAACGACTCAAAGATGACGGGTCACCAATTTCCCAAAGGAAGAATATTCCAAAGGAAATACAGCGGAGTAAAACCTTCTCTTCAGGTTCATCCAATCCTGGGGAACCAGTTACACCCAATGTTGCAGATACCCTCAAGAAACCACACTGTTCTCTCCAGCAAGGGGCCCCGTGTCAGTGTGAAGTTCATGGTGGCTACAGCAGTCCTGTGTACTATGGCTCCAGCCTCAAAGCACAGTCCTCGGTTGGACCTAAAACACAGAGCAGCAAAGATGTTTCTGAAGTCGCTTCACACACTGCTCTACAGTCTGAATTGAGTGTTGAAGAAAGGAGGATACTGGCAGCCAAAGCCCTGGCAAACTTAAGTGAGTTTGCAGAAAAGGAGGAAGTGAAAAGGAAGGTAGAAATGTGGCAGGTATTGCATTTCATTTCATTATATGTGCTTGGGAAATACTTATGTCAGAGCAAAAACATCATATATTTTCCAGGACTTACTTGTAGAATTATGAAGACATGTTTGTTATAATACTTTGAAACTTCAGGTTCCTTAGCTGTAATAGAAGCCTTATGTCATAGAAATGACACTGTTTTCAGTCTCCTGTGAAAGCAGCACTTAGCACTTGGCAGAGTGCCTGAGTGAGAGAGGCATGGATAGGACTGATATTGGTAGTTTCCTTCTTTCTTGCTGGGTTTGTGGGATAGACTGACAGACAGACAGATGTACAGGCCATAGCAGACAGCTGTAAACTGACCTGAAGGATCTCTAGGCCAACCCAACGCCTAGCAGGGAGCCACATTTTGAGAACACTAACACATAAATGAGGTCAGAGCAAATTCTTTTCCAAAGGTCATCCACACAAGTGTTGAGTGAGATCTGGAGGGATCATGACAGATGCTGTCTGCTCAGCATTCCATCTACAGACTCCTCAGTCCTTCCTTAGTGAGGCACCTGTCAGATCTGAAAAAGCAAATGGAAGCAACTCCAGCGAACCTGTGTGCCGTTGGTTTCTGAGGTTAGGTCTTTTGGGTCCCTTTCTTAGCTTTTACTTGAAATTTAAAATGTTAACCCCTTTTTGAGTAGTACATTCACTAGGAAGACAGTCTTAAATCAACTACACTCTCTGCCCTGAATGGCAGCTGATCTAGAGGAAAGGCAGGCCTTATAAAATTAATTTTCAGAAATAAACTGCCCAGTGTGGGGCTGACCCAGGGAGGCCTGGCTTAATGAAATTTTGACTTGTTAGCCCATAATCAACTACAAGTTATTTGTATGGCTGCTGTTCAATATCTGCCATTTAATAAACAAGGTGTGTACACTTTGTAGGAGGGCCAGAACCTCCTGCTACAGAGGAAGGAACATAGACATGGAGCCTCATGTCAGCTTATAACTGTGTAACAGGAGGAGAACACCTCACACACTTTCTCCATCAGAATTGGTTTGCTTAGTAAAGAGTTAAATGTGGTGGGGGTTTTTTCAGCATGAAGTGTCGTCTTTATTTTCTACTCATACCTGAGCAAGCCTTCCACCCCGTGGGCAGGTCCTGCTGCTGCGTTGCTGTGTGTCACGGCAGCTAGCAGCAGGCCCTTTAGCTTCAGGTGTTGCTAGCTCATGTCCCTCGTGGGCCAGCCCCCTCTGTGCCCGCACTGCTTCAACATGTGACATATAGCAAAGCATTTTTTAGAGGAAACTACAGCTGTTTTGTTTGGATAGGTTGCCTTTTTTTATTTTTTAGAGTTTATTATAAGTCTTTCAGTAGTAAGAACAAATAAATTGAATTCTGGAAAGAGTAAAATCAGAGGGCTTCCAGTCAAGATGGCAGAAGGTAATTGCCTTCTCCCACAACCACATCAAAATTACAACTGAACTACAGAAGAACCATCATAAAAACCGCCTGAAACCTAGCTGAACAGAACTCCTATAACTAAGGAAATAAGGAAGAAACCATGTGAAGACCGGTAGGAGGGGCAGAACTCAGAACCAGAGTGTGACAGTTTTAAATAAGGAGGGAAATTTCCACTGCAGAGGTTCCTCCTGAGGAGCAAGGGGCCCAACCCCACACCACATTTCACCAGTCCTATCTTCCAGTCTAGGAGGAGGAGTTCCCATAACTTCTGGCTGTTAAAACCAGCATAGATGGTGATTAAATGAGACGGAGGGCTCCTGGAGTTCCAGATATTCCACTTAAAGGGCCTGTGCACACAGACTCACAGCAGCTTGAAATGTGCCAGGAACATACAGGGAGGAACTAAGCTGTTCAGCAAGGGCTGGAGGAGTAGCTTTCTCCCAGACAGAAGTGCTGTCAGAGACCATATTTCCTTTGCTGAATCGTCCTATAGAGCCTGCAGGTGGGCACCATATCTGAGTCTCCATCAACCTGACTAACATTGTTCGCTCTTTCCTGGTGATTCCCTGAGACCCTGCTCCACCCAAATCTCAGGCCCACTCAAGCTGTTTCCAGTGGCTTTTCAATCTAACAGCCTGTATTGGCTCATGTTGCAGACTATCCCAAAATCTCAAGCAGCATCTGGTCTCGGCATGCTTTGTACCTCTTGCTAAGTGGCCTCTAGCTTGACATTATTGGCAGCCAGCCTTGGTAGGCAGCTTAGTCTCTCCTGATCCCCTCCAAGCCTAGTATAAGTAGCAGCCATCTGCAGATTGCTTTGTAGCTCATGTCCAGTGGCCCTGGGCAGGACACAGGCAGCAGCTGACCTTGTCCTGCACCTTCTGGAGGCCCCAGAGCCAGCACACCTGATGGACAGCTTCAGAACATTCCAAAACACCACCCAACCACCTCCATAAGTGACACACTCAACCATACTCAAGGTGTGGTCTCAGTGGCATCAGAGCCCCACTGAAGCAAGTCCTGCTCCATGGGGTCAGCCCCTGCACAGCAGATCCTCCATATGGTAGTGGCCAGTCTTCATGGCAAAATGGCCTGTGGGTAAATTTTTCCCATTGACATACCAATAGCAACAAATTACAACAGGATGGTGTACACAGTTCACACGGGCACACCAGAGAGGTTGTGCCACTTCTTTAGAACACCTACTACATAATGCCACTGCACCAAGACTAGGAGACATAGCAGCTCTGCCTAATACATAGGAACAAACATAGGGGAGCAGTTAAAATGAGATTAGGAGACATATCCAAGTAAAAGAACAAAACGGCAGAAAAAGAACTAAACAAAATGGAGACAAGCAATCCACCAGATGCAGAGTTAAAAAAAAACAAAAACTGGTTATAAGGATGCTTAGTGATCTCAATGAGAACTTCAACAAAGAGATAAGCATAAAAATGTAGAGAGAAAATGTGAAAGAACCAGTCAGAAATGAGAATACATTTTCTGTAATCAGTAGAGTATGAGCAGAGGATCAAATCAGCAATTTGGAGGGTAATTAGAAAACATCTAATCAGAACAGCAAAAAGGAGAATCCAAAAAAGTGAGGACAGTATAAGGAGCCTCTGGGACAACTTCAAGCATACAAAATTCATATAGTTGGGGTGCTGAAAGGAGATGAGAGAGACCGAGGGTTTAAGAATCTGTTTCAGAAAATAATGATGGAAAACGCCTCTAACCTGGTAGAGGAAAAAGACATACAAGTCCAGGAAGTACAGAGTCCCAACCAAAATGAACCTAAATAGGCCCACACCGAGACTCATTGTAATGTAAATGCTGAAAGTTAGGCCCACTACATGCCTGTGCGCTGTGCCCAGCATGAGGGTTGTAGCTCTGATCAGTGGTGGGAAGGACAGCTGTTACAGTATGATGCAGTGCATTGCTGCTGGGCATCAGATTGTTGTTTTAGAAAGTCTAAGACCAGCTGAAAACCAAGTGTGGTCAGGTGAACTGGATAGCTACATGTATCAGACAGTGGGTCCTCATGCCATTGATTTGTATAAAGAAGCAATGGCTCTTCCCCCTCTGCTGCCGTACCATAAGAGGAAGGAATGTGGGTACAGGACAAGTGTACACCAAGTGTGAAGATGATGAGGCTGAATATCTCCATCAGCTTTGAAACTTCAGGAAAAAGAAGTGAAGGAATGTCGGTAGGTTCCATACTTTCTGGTTATCAGCATGTTTGAGTAGAAAAATGTGTGTAAAGGCTTAATTTTCAGCTTTTAGCTTACCTTTGGCAGAGAAACCAAAATTTGCTCTGGGAGATGACAGGCTCTAACATCATAAAAGTAGCAGCTTTGGGCTTAGACCTAGATAAGCATTTAGGAAAAATCCTACATCAAATGGAGCCTTACCTCAGAACTTTCTAAGAAATATGGAGTCCATGGTTGTGGAGAATGTGGAAAGTTCACATTTGAATTACCCCTATTTAAGAAGAAAATAATTGTAGATTCACCCGAAGTAGTCACACATTCATCTGATGGATTTGAACCTGTGGCTTAAAAACCCTTTTTAGAATTGCACTTAGAGGACAAGGTGTTCCCATTGCCTGACAACTACAGAACATCTTAAAAAGCATTTTTGATAGTTGACTGAGCTGCCATTTTTATATGGAAAAAAAAATTGCATAGCATTTTCTCAATTATTATGTCCAGCCTTATTACAATTTTTTATTCTAAAAAATATAGATCACCCTCCCTATCCAGTTTAGCTCAGTAGAGAGACCATCAGCCCACAGACTAAAGGTTCAGTTCTGGTCAAGGGTACAAACCATGATTGCAGGCTTGATCCCCAGCCCTGGTTGGGCACATACAGGGAGGCAACCAATCGATGTGGCTCTCTCACATTGATGTTTCTCCCTCTCTCTCTCTCCCCCCTTTCCTTCCACTCTCTCTAAAAACCAATGGAAAAATATCCTTGGGTGAGGATTCCCATCAGAAAAAGTTAATAGAACCATTTTGTTGTTTTTAATCCTCACCCAAGGATATTTTTTCCATTGTGTTTTTAGAGAGAAACATCAATGAGAAAGAGGCACATCGATTGGTTTCTCTTTTATGCACCCTAACCCAGCTGGGGATCACCTGCATTCAAGGTACATGCCCTTGACTGGGGAACGAACCTGCTATCCTTTGATGCACGAGCCAATGCTCTCACCACAATAGAACCATTTATAATTGGTGAAATGTGAATGCCTTCTTCATGATGATGTCAAGATACTCTGGATTCACTCTGACTTTTGTTAATATATCCTATTCATGTCTTTTGATATGTGCTTTTTTATTTTATTTTTATTTTTTGCTTTTACTTCATATACAATGCTCATTTTTATGACATCTTTTCTTTCATCACACAGGTTTATTTTCTTCTTTATCTCTTTCCTACTCTCATCTCTGCCAGTAATATCATGGTGCAGAGGTATTTGAAAATGAGAATGAAAAGACAATCACTTTATTTAGCCAATCAAATTTATTCTATTGGGTGTCTTCAAAGTGCTCTGTCATTTTTGCTTTTAATA